TTTGGAAAGCAGAAAATAGAGGCGCACAGAATGACCTTCTCTATGAAAATGAACATAAGAATGGCTACACTGGGTTAAACCAAATGTCCATCTAGCCCCATTTCCTGCCTTCTCACAGTAGCCAATGCCAGGTGCTTCAAAGGGAATGCACAGAACAGGTAATCATTGAGTGATCCATCCCCTGTCATCCACTCCAACTTCTGTCAATCAGAGGCTATGGATGCTCAAGACTTCGGGTTGTATCTTTAACCATCTTGGCTGAAAGCCATTAACGTACCTCTCCTCCATGGAAGTGCCTTAAAGAGCAACTTGGAAGTTGAGAGCAAAAGGGCACGTTGTGGGGACTGTTCCCTTGCTAATATAGCCCTAGGGCAGTACAACTGTTTTGCTAAAGAAAGTGGTGATGTTAAATTTTGGGGCAATCACATATGAGGACTGAATAGCACAAACCGTATGGCACAGAGCATGATAGTGTGTGGGTGAATTTGGGAGCAGGGCATAGGCTGGGTGGTACGAAGTCCCAGCAGTCCACAGATCATCTGGTCTTTCCCCCTTGTGGGGAGATGTTTTTAGATTGATAGTGGTCACTCCAGGCAGTTATGCAGGAGTAGTCTTTGTGAAGCAGCTCCCTTGATGCTCTGCAATCAGGGAACGAGGATTTCTATCTCTGCAGTGTCTGCAAAGGATACCTCAACTGGATGCTGAGGGGAAGGTTTGCCTCTTCATGCTCAGTACAATTGTATTTTGCTTGGAAACAGCTATGAGCCAGTTATGTTCTGCCAATATTCTCACCCTCCCTGCAATATTTTATTTCTTTTCTGAGTTGGTCCTCATTTATCCTATCATTCCATGCTCCTTCGGGTCAGCAACTGTAATGAAAAAGCAGGCTTGGGATTTTTTATGCTTTTTAGAATTAAAACAAAAAAGTAGGCAGTGTGTGAGGTGATTGGTATCCAAATAAGGCCAGTTTTTCTATTTTACCATTCCTATGCCTCTTATGCAGTGGTGACCCCTTGCACATAGCAAGCCTCGGATTGCACCCCAATCTCTTAAACATTAAAAGCACTTTTCATATATTTAACATCATTATAAATCCTGGAAGTAAAGTGGGGTTTGGGGTGGAGGTTGACAGCTCATGACCCACTAGGTAGTAACTTCATGACCCCATGAGGGGGTAACTGTCCCCAGTTTCAAAACTCTTGCTCTTATATCACTTCAGGCAGACCCGAGATTCCAAGTACAACATGCCTTATATCTGCATTAAAACTTTCTCCTTTTCTGGCACAGCTGTGTTTATGAAGCCATCGACCAGTTTTTAAGCTATTCTATTGATCCTAGTAATGCTCTGTGTAGTTATTCTAGGCTTTTAGGAACAATTTGTTCAAAGGAATGTACATAATACATTTCATTTTAGTATTTCTCTTGCATTGCTTGTCATAATGTCTGTATACATGTACAGAGGAATTAAAGGTAACATCTGTAGTGAAGTACTAGCTATTTAAAAAACTGTCCTTTTCCCTGCAATGAACTCTGTGATAGACTGTGATTTATCCTCTCTTTCTGGCTATCTCTTTGAAGGCACTAATGGATTCCTGCAGAACGTGCTGAATGAACTGTTGCCTGATGCAAAATCAATTTAAAATAAATAGCAACGTGACAACAAACAGGAGACACTTTATGCTGACAGGATGTAAACGATATGCATGTCTCATTGGTCAACTCTTCTTGGCATGAATTTCTACTATTGAGAAATGGCCTTTAAAACGCACAGCAGAGCAGTTTAGTTCTGAAGGTGTGGAGGCTGCTTTGAACAAATTAGGGTCTTCAAACCCAGTGTTTCCCAACCAGTGGTACGAGTACCCTTACGGGTACTCGAGAGAAGTCTGGGGGGTATGTCAACACAACTGACATTTAGAGAAAACTGAATTTTTGTTTTAAGTTTTACAGTGCTTTATTATTTTTGTACTTTTTACACCAAAAATTTCATCACCTGCCCAGCTAAAATTAAGTTGTTCAAACAAATGTGTTGTAATGGTAAAAAAAATGTTGTGTGTCTGAAAACTGTAGTACTGGGGGAACTTATAATTGTTTTAAAAAAGGGGGTACTTTATTTAAAAAGGTTGAAAAACACTATTCAAAACTATGCTAAACATATCACTGGAACAGATCTACTCCCCAGATAACTGGTACTGCCATCCTCCGAGAGATAAATACACCAAGCCTTTCTGATGGTATTTTGGCATGGTAGCCTCTAGAGGTCATCAAGTACACTTCTTCCCTGGGGTAGCACAGAAAAAAGGCATAGACAAGAGTAGGAGAAGGTACCAAATGGGGCGTCAAGAGAGGTGTCATTGGAGAGACCTTGGAGATGTGATGAGATAAGGTGTATCCTGTAGGTTCGAATAGCAGTGCATTGTGGGGAAACTTGCCCTGCCACTGGCCATATAGTATCTCTTCTGCTGTCTCAAACAGCACTATGTCAAAGTGCACCACAAGAAGTTTCAGTGCACGGTAGCATGGGTCACATGACAACTTAGTGCGTGGTAACTAATGTGCTTTAGGTTTACACTCTGGCTTGTTGTGTTTTAAGGCTCAGTGTAGATAGCCGATTAGTTTCTTGCTTTCTGGGTACTTTTCAGAAATGCTACATTCAATTCAGACCTTTAAATATTTAAGAGGCTTAGCAGAGATTTCCAGAAATATTGGATAAATTGAATTTCTGATCTGCACAGATCCATTTAATCAAAATGGTGCATTGAATAAGTAGGAAAATCAGTCAGCTGGAGATATTCTAAGAACCTACTTCTTCAATATCCTGGGAAATCTTATCAGAGGACAAGGCAATCTTATCAGAGGACAAGTTACTCCATTCCTCAAGGCAGTGAAATATTGTTCAAAGAATCATAAGAGTCTCCCAGACTAATATTTAAAGAAGTGATTAACAAGGCAATAGGGTTTCTTGGTTTCTGTACCTATAAAGATAAGTAATGAGAATTTAGTAGGGCAGCATAAACAAGTGAAGAGTTCAGATATACACCTGTCTCCTGGAATAACTTCCACAGTCTGCCAAGTCAGCTGAAGTTCCTTTTACCACAGTGAATTCTATTTTTAGTAATGCTCAGCACATTTTGCAAACCCTTTTGTGAGTCCATTTCACCTATCACGCTAATGCAACATCTGGCCTAACCCTGGGCAGTTCGATTTCCCAGATAGCTAATGCTCTAGCAATAGTTATATGATGAAAAATGCTTTAGGTTAGTGAAAAATAGGATCAAGTAAACTTTAGCCAAGGAGACAGTAATCTCATAGGATGAAAAAATGGAAGAGCAGTTTTTAAGTGTCTCCTTACAGGAACACATAGACTATGCCACTGAATTTTTAATGATGATACTCTTTTCTCTTTTTAATTCTCAGTTTGAGTTCTATGGCATGTATTGGGGTGATGTATTTATTCATTATGCTTGCTTTTCTGTACAGAACCTGTCTGAAGTGCCTTGAGGGAGTCTGGGAAGAGGTGCTTTATTAATAATATTAACATCAAATTAGACATTAGTCAGCAACATCTCATAAATGTGTATATCCTTTTAGTACATTAAACAGCTCTCATCCAAATGCGAAAATGAAAACAAATACACACATGCTGTAGAAAACTGCTAAAACCCGGATAAAATATTTCAGTGAGTTACTTGAATCAGTATCTCACTATTGGGAGTTATAATAATTCTACTCAACAAAACCTCTGTGGACAGTAATTTTGGAAGACACTTGCAGAGAATACAGTGCATGAGGACTCTCTTGTGTGTATTGCTCAAGGGCATTTTTGGCTAGTGGAGGCCCTGATTTGATCAGCCAGATACATAAGCACATGCTTAACTGAAATCATACCAGTATTGCCATCAGCTATACAGGTAATACTCATGTGCTTAAACTTAGGCCCATGCTTAGGTGCCTTGCTAAACTGGGGTCTTTGGCCCAGATCCACAAAGATATTTAGCCATCTAATCCCTAGATGTAGGTATCTAAATCCCTTTTTAGGCATCACTGTGATCTGTAACACTCTTGCTCAGCTCCCACATATCCCCGTAGGTTCCAAAAGATGTTTTTTGCTATGGTTTCACAGTAAATTTTCCCTAGGTATCCATGTTTCTACCCCTGGGCGTGTGTGCTGCTGCCTCACTCTAGGCCTTGTTGGGGGGAGGGGACATCAATCTTACATCTAATCTGCAGCACAGATTCCACAAATCAGGATCCTCTACTCTGTACAAATGTGCATACTTTTTATTACTTCAATTTATACACAATTTATGGTGGCACAACTCCCATATGAAGAGAGAGAGAGAGACAAAAGTGGCACGTTAGCATGCGCACAGTGTCACAGGCAAGAACACCATAAATCCAGTCAGAGCCTATCACATTTCATGTGTGCTGACTAAAAACCTTTCCATTCCATCAGACCAGTGTATTCACAATGCTAAATAAAATCATCCATGGTCTGTAAACCACCTACACATTTGGACAGCAGCAAGTAAAATCAGAACAATTCAATTGAGAGTGTCTTAGTGATAAGATCTCCATTTTAAAACTAGAACATGTCTGGCATATTTATTCTCTAAACAGTTTTACTTGCATATCTCCTCCTTTACAGAACCAAGCTGTTGTTTTAATTAGCTGATTAAAACAAAAATAAAAGCAAAAAAAGAAACCAAACAAACAAACAGAAACTTAAAATGGGAGCATAATGAGCACAAATTAATAGCAGCACAATAAAAACAAACAGTGTTAATTTCACTAGACAGCTGCAAGAGTAAATGCATCCATTTGTTTTGAAATTCTGACTGAACATTGTGTCTCAGCTCACTAATTTGCTTCAGGTGCTATCATATGTGTGTTTGTGTCTGAGGTCAAGAGACAGTGGCTAATCCACATGACTGAAACAGTGTGATGTGTCCAAAGGAATAAGCTATCATAGGGACTAGCCATGTGAAAGTGTCTTTTTTTTCCCTTTTCATAATGTGTCCCTTGTAAAGAGAAGCAGACAGTAATCCTTATGAATCTTTTTTTCTTCTGATGGAGGCAGCTTCAATTCCTGATCCATATATAAACTGTGACCTGCTGTCCTCATCCTGTGAAAAGAGCATGTAATAAAGTACAGGCAGTCCCCGGGTTACGTACAAGATAGGGACTGTAGGTTTGTTCTTAAGTTGAATTTGTATGTAAGTCGGAACTGGTACATATTGTAGGGGAAACTCTACCCAAACATTTCTCCAGAGCTCAGTTTTATTCTCCCCCACCTCACTTCCCTCAGTCCTTTATTCTCAAGCTGAGGTGTCTGCTGAAAAAGCCGCTCCGCGTCTCCCTGGTCTGCTGGGGAGGGGCGCTAGCTTCGTGTCTCCCTGGTCTGCGGGGGGGAAGCAGCTAGTGCGGGGTTGCCTCACCCCGTTTGTAAGTAGGGATCCGATGTAAGTCGGATCCATGTAACCCGGGGACTGCCTGTAGTGGGAGACAGCCAGCCTAGCAGACCAGCTATCCTTTCTGACATAGAAAACAATACTATTGATTTACACACAGGCCTTGCACGCTAAGGCTATTATGTATCTCGAGGCATTAAAACAGTTGACTATGTACTATCTAAAGATAAAGGCCACAATTCAGGAAAATGCCCTTACTCAGGAAAACACTTGAGCATTTTCTTGTTTTTTTGAATAGGCGTAAATGTAGTCCTCAGTCTTTCCAGCTGCTGAGTGCTGTTAAGAGAAATGCAGAGAGACAAAGCCCTCGTGCTCATTTATTCCTCATCTTGGCAAAGAGGCTTCCATTTTTTGTGCAGTTATTTGCACAAGGTGCTGCTGAGTCCCCTCTGGGAGGTGTTGAACGCACTGTTCAGGGGAGGTGAACACACCTCTCTGAAATGAGTCTTGGTGACTAACCCGGAAGTGGACATGTTAGTATGTAGGGGGTAGGGGAGATAGCCAGAGAATAGTTGCGAAGAAATTTATGTGTATATCAGGCTTTTGGGGGATTTTTCTTCTGCTGACAAAGAATGGTGGCTCCCTTGAGCACGGGATACATTTAGAAGAAACTGATGATAGCAAAGGTAGCTGTGACAGTCAACCACTAATGCAGAAAGGCGTCTATTGTTTCTAATAGAAACAGTATCCGGGAGATGTGTACTGATCACCATACACCTTCACCCTTTCTGACTGCATAGATTCAGAATTCAAGGAGCTGAACACAGTCCTAGTGACTTTGCTCATGTGAAAGCAGCTACCATGATATTTTGGTCTACACAATTCAATGAAGCATTCTGAGACAACCTGTGTTTGAACTAGGGGTGTTAAATATCGGTTAATTGAATAGTCGAGTAACTTCATGAATTCTTATTGGTTAGTTGACTATTCTATAGTCCCTCAGAGCAGGGCCAGCAGCCATTGTGCTCCGGCCCCACTCCCGAAGAACCCCCCTGCCACTGTATCAACAGTGCAGGGTACCATGCGGGAGCTGGTCTGCAAGGGGAGCCAATTTAAAAAACAGCTCCCCTTGTGGACCAACTGCCTGTAACCCTGTGTGGCTGCCTCTGATAATGAGACAGCAGTGTGGGGTGGGAGCAACCCCTGTCCAGGTGGGATCTGAGCTCCCAGACCTGGCATGAGACAGAACTGAGGCAGGCTGCCTTCCCACATGCCTCCTGATGCACTTTAAATGCAGAGCCTTAATGGGGATAGGTCCCAGACCTGGCGCAAGCCAGGACTGAGCCAGGCTGCTGGCCACCCTGCTGAAAAATGAACTGGCAGGGGGAAGAGGGGAAATGTGTGTAGTCTATAGCATTTACCTATAAGCTTTTGCTTATTGGTTAACTGACTATACTATTACATCCCTAGTTTTAACTTGATGACAAGTATCAGAGGTATAGCCATATTAGTCTATATCTGCAAAAACAACAGAGAGTCCTATGGCACCCCAGACTTATTTGGGTATAAGTTTTCATGAGCAAAAATCCATGTGGTGCCACAGGACTCCTCACTGTTTTTGTATTTGAACCTGACTTTCAAAGCAGTCTTATTTTCAGTTCTTGAGTGCTGCACGGTTGGGTGAAGTGCTTTGGCCTTGTAACCTGCTTGTGATGAGTGAACCGTACAAATATGAGAGCTCAGATTTAGTTTGGATAAACACTGAGAAGTATTAGACATTAATTCAAAGATTAATCTAACAATCCTAGGTCCACCATGTTGGGGGAGGGGAACCTCACCTTTCCAGTTCTCTCCTCTTCCTTTCAATTATGGATATCACAAGAATTGCTTCTTCCTGTGCTATTTCAGTTCAGCAGCTTCCACTTCCAGGCAAATAAAGAAAGACACAAAAATGGAAAAGGATGGCGTAAACAAAAGCTCATACTCAGGTTTAACTTCAGTTTTGCAACAAGAGTTTGAAGCTGTTCTTGCTTGTTTCTGGAGGTATCCTGGAAAAACTCCACCGCATCCAGGGAAAGCGTATGCTCTGCCAACATTTTTTGCGGAAGAGCAGACGTGCTCTTTCTGAAGCCCTATCTTCTTCATGTCACAAGGAAGAAGGGCTCTTCTGAAAGAGGAGGTTTTTCTGAAATTTGGCCCAGTGTAGATGGGCCAAATTTTGGAAAAGCCTCTTCTGACAAACTTTCGGAAAAAGGTACACAAATTGCAGAAAGCAATTTGTGTACCTTTTGCCAAAAAAGTGGCAGTCTAGACATAGCCTATGGCTGGCTATGAAAGGACACATGTTTTGATGGATATTGTAAGACATGGGTTCTAATCCTTGCTTTTGCCACAGATTTCTGGGTGTGATATTGAAAAAACAAACTTTTTACAAAAATTTTAACCTACTCAGTTTATAAAATGAGGATACTAATACAATATATAGCTGTGTCACAGATATTATAGGACCTGATCAAATATCCCCTGAAGTAAATGGGAATTTTTCCATTGACTTCACTGGGCTTTCATTCCGGCTCTTAATGTTTATGTAACTCTCTGTAAAGTTTCATATTTAATTCCTTAATATTTTGGAATATTCATATCATAGATAATATGCATTTCTGTAACATCTTGTTATTTATTGTTGTGGGAAACTACTGAATTTCCTATGTTTGTGCAGTGAGCAACAATCTATTGCAGTGAGCCACCAGAAGATTAAAAGCTATAGGCTCTGGCAGCACTACCAGCTGTCAGTTAATAAGGTCATTTTTCTTTCCAGAGAATATAGATTTTCATCCAGTAAAGATTTTTTTTTTTCATTTTTTCACAGTGTTGTAGTATGAAGTACTTGGAAGGGACAGACTGGAACTTACAAGTTTCTGAAGCCATTACTGTATTTTATTCATTTCTTAAAAAGGGAAAAGGGCTGTTGTAACAGGAATAATGCATCATTTATTTTCCGCATGACTTGATTTGAGGAAATCTGCAATATGAATTTGTTATATGACTGTGAAATATAACAGAATCCTTTTCCTTTCTTCTATTTTATCTCCAGATTGGTACGCATCCCCACTTTCCCAATGACAAGTCAGCTCATCTTTTCATTCTGTCACCTTCTATCATTATTTCCCTTCCTTGTTTCTGCCATTCTTGGCATGTCACCTCCAAAAGAGAGACCTTGGCAGCCTCCCATTTTAGATAGCTGAAGAGACTCCGTGGTGTAATTTGAGAAAGGATCTGCCTATGTTATAGTAGACTCCCCTGACTGCTCTACAGACCACAGCATTGTCCGGAATCTCTGCAGCACTGTTGCTGTCACCCACTACATTCTCTACACTAAGTCTATGTCTACACTAGCACTCTTGTCAGGATAATTTATGTTGATCAGGAGTGTGGAAAAAAACTGCACACCCCTGAGTGACAGAAGCACTGGTGTGGACGCTCTCCTGCCAACACAGCCCCCACCAGTTGTTTGGGGTGCTTTAATTATATTGATGGGAGAGCTCTGTACTATTGGCCTAGTGCAGCTGCACAGGAGATCTTACAACAGTGCAGCTGCATTGTGACACTGTAAAGTCTCTAGTATAGAGACAGCCTAAAGTTTAGGAGAAATAACTAACATTATTCCTAAATAACAAAGAGCATGTCTACAGAGCAAGCCGTTATTTCAAAATAATGGTGAGCCGAAGGACTTTGTACTCCGACTTCTGTAACCCTTACTTCACGAGGAGTAAGGGAAGTCAAAGGAAAAGTGTTTCCCAAGAACCTGTTTGTTGTTTAACTTCCTCTTTCTTCTCATGTTTCCTCTACTCTGTTCCTGATCCACTACTTCCCATCCCGGACAAGCTTTGATTCTCCAATAAGAATTATATGTACAATAAAACACTACAGTGCAGATAAGCTTTAGCTTAAGGGAAGTGTGTTTTTACTCACCGTTTAAGAAAAGAAAGCATCCAAGAACCAGACAAACCACCTGGAGTCTGAAAATAATTAATATGCTAATAGTTGTGACTGGGAGAAGGAATGTTTGTTCTAATAGCATCCAGGAGTATGTATGCCTGGTTTTGTGATGCTAGCACAAAGTGATAACAACACACCAATTCAGAAGACGTTTCTGAAATAACCAGGTAAGCAGAAGAAAATTGAAATGTTCCATCTCAAGGGATACTGACATTGGAGAAGGATATATTTGGAAGACTCTTTGTTGGTGGAAATGTGATTAGATGGACAAGGATAAGCTCATGTCCCACCCACAAAAACTTAAGACCCTGTCAGGAGACAGAACAAAGATCTAGATCCTGCTGCCATTCATTCTCTCATTCATGCCAACTGAAATGGTGCTCCTAAATGGGGTGGCAGGAAGTGAGCAAGATTCTCAGCTATTTTCAATGCTTCTGGGCCTGGCAGAGAAGCTTTCTCCCATTCTGTCTCCCCTGTTCATTGGTCCCTTATTCTGACAATGACTGTCAATGAAACATAATGGGAAAAATAGTAGCAAGCTCTACTATTTAGCTCTGAAGAACTGCAAATTCTTTCCCCCTTGGAAGGTTATACTGTCAGGGAGACAGAATGAGAGAGACTACAAAGAAAATGCTGAGGGGGTAGAGAAAGAGACCCATAGCTGAGCAACCAAATGTAAGTGTAGATGTTTCCACAGCGAAGTCAATATCAGACAGCTTACAGCAATCTGTGTAAAGTCGACCTGGCCAGAGAATCAGGTTCCCATCATAGCTTTGGTACTGCCTTGCTGTGCAGCAATGGATAAACTGAGTCATAAAAACTTTCCTCATCTTTAAAATGGAACAGCACTGACCTACCTCACCAGTAACTGAACATATTTGTTCCTTGGTGTGGGGGTTCACCATGCTCCCCCTCCTTTCTTTCCCCTTTTGTCTCCAAGTCACAGTCCCCTTTCTCCATGTCGGTGCTTTTACAGCCACGGAAGTGTGGGGAGGGGGGTCCGGGCCCACCCTCTCTCCCGGACCCAAGCTCAGGGCCCTAAGGACAGACTCCCAAGGACCTGTCCCACTGGAGGGGTAATGACCCTCAACCCACTGGTGCGCCGGCTCCTTGCCCTGCCCTGGGCTACTTCCACCCTGCTTGCTGTCTAAGGCTCACCTACGCTCTCCACCCTCGCTCCCCTCTGCACTCCTCTCTCCCCCCCCCCCCCCCACACCCACGTACCCCCGCGGCCACTGCGGGGACGCCTGACGTCACCGCCGTCGGCCGACGCCAACCCCTGCGGCCCCGCCCCCCCGCTTCACCTCCTGCAGGCAGTTTTCTTGCGGCGCCTTCCACTCCACCGCCCAGCTGAGCCGCCGCCGCGCTGCAGTGTGCGCACGCCCTTACCGAGCCCCGCGTCGCCCCCATTAGCGACAGGGCGATCGCGGGGTCAGTGCGGGGTGGGCCCGCTTCCCCGGGGTATGCGGGTCCCGCCCCGTCACACTTGGTTATATCATCGGTGTTAAATCACCTGTATTGAGTTGGGAGAGGCTTGCTCCCTTCACATGCTCATATCCATCACAGCCATCACCTTCGGGTCTAAAACTTGGCAGCTATGTACTTGTACACACCCATCTGCTATTGAAAGCAAATTGCTAGCCAGAATCACTTTTTTAGCTGAGTTTCTCCCCACATTTGGAAGATAGGGGTGGGTTTGGCTGTCCAGATTTTCCCCTTTCTGCTGGAGTTCATCCTTATCTGTGCTAAAACTAAGCCATCCATGACAGAGTAATTTTTATTGTTGATAACTTTTATCCCAAACTCACAAAGATATTTCTGAAAAGCAAAACTGGCTGAGCTAAATAATTGCTATCTGATTAAACCAGCTGCCATCTGTTTATGGGGAAGGATACTTTCTCCACAAAGGCTTTCTTCCCCTTCATTTACCCTAACAAATTGCTACATTCAAGCACTGCCGCCCAAATCCTGTTCTTTGTTAAGCCCGTGCAAATTCATAGTATTCCTAGTAATGACAGAGGAGTTAAAAGCTGTGTAAACCCTGAAGTATCTGAGATAAAAAAACCTTGGAGTATCTGAGATCAGGCCCAGTGTGTTCTTCTAAACATTTGACTGCCTTTTTATTTCCTAAAAAATACCTAACTACTGTATAGATATGTATGTATTTAAAAAATAGTTGTTTTGTTAGTGTTTTCCGAGAAATCAAATAGAATTGATACCAAAATGAAACTCAGCCACTAGCATTAAATGTGTGCAAAAATACACTTGTGCCTAAAGGGTTGATTTCCTAGCTCACTGTGAGCGGGTGTGTATGGTTTATTCATCTTATGATGAGCCTATGTAAAGCTTCATTCTGTACTAGTTAAAAACTCCAGGAAGGACCTAGAAGTGAAGGTTGCAAAAATGAGTAAGTGTCTGTGAGGACAAGAAAAAAGAACAACCCATGAAGTACCTGGGAGCTACTGCATAACTGCTGAAAATGCTGCCTTTGGAGCCTGTTAGAGACACTAACACCTGGGAGATCATTTTGCAAAGCATGACATCCAGGAGACTTATCATACAAAGAGATACAGCAGCTAGGAACTAAGAAATGAATGGATCTCTAGCACGTCAGTCTGGTATGTTGTTTAAAACCACACTCTCCCCTTCCCCTGCCCAAGCTCCTTAGCAAAAAATTACAAAACAGTTTCAAATAGAAAAAAAAAACCCAGTGGCATTTTACTGGCAAGGTTGTGTCTTTTGAACAGTTGTTTTAGGAAAGCCATTCTAAAAGCCAAAGTAGCTATACAGGGAAGACAGAGGGATGTCTATCTCAGTTGACAGAGTGTTCTAACTTCATATGCATGAGACGGTTTTGTGGAGAGTTGGCATGGAATTTCAAAAGTTACAGTAATATTTTTATGCCATCATTAACTCTGAACGTGTACTTTTAATCCTCTGATTTTCAGATGACCTGTCTCTGTTGCTGCTTAAATGACTGTAGAATAAAAATTGGCATACAGAGCACCAGGCCAGCATTGATTTCTCTCTGGATTCCACAAAAGCCTTATTCCATTGCTTAAATTTCATTCATCTTTTGTTCTCATGCCTCCTCCTTTCATGGTTTGGATCATAATTTTATTACAGTCAAAGTTCCATCTGTGTCATGCCTGAGCGAATGACACAGAAGTAAGTCAAGAATCATCCCATGAAAATCAGTGGAGTTACACTTGTTGTAAATGGGGGTAAGAGAGATCTGTCATGCCTTAGGGACCAGACCCTCATCTCCACGATACCAAAAGGGAGTTTCAATAAGACCAGGATTTGGCCTTTTATAGAGTGCTATGTATGGTTTATGATTTCTGTGCATAACTCTGTCGGAATGACATAAATACATTGCACTTCTGTAGATCACAAAGCTCCTACTAATATCTCAGAATTTCTTCATTTCCTTCTTTTAGCACTAGAAAACCCAGCATTACTTAAAAGACTGAGAGAAGGTAAACAGAACCTTCAGTTCTGCTTGCAAAACCAGACATTAAGAAAAAGGTGACTAACAGGAAGAATTTACTTCATCCTAATTAAAACTTTTTATGTGCCTTTTTATTAGGTGTATATAATGATGTCCCTTTGCATGAGGTAACCAATATTAGGATTAATAGAGGGTCATTTTCATGTGGAAAACAAATTTGACAAACTTCTTATGTCAGTTACTTATTTATGAAATGTATAAATGTCCTCTTCCCTTTGACCAGAGGGGACCAAAATGGCACAGAATGGCACAGTTACAGAAACTTCAGTTAAGGTGCTGTCTTCAGTCCTGTTGATAAGAAATGATTCTCTCCTCCCACAACAGACATCAGGTTGTGCTGTGCCTTTCTGAGATTCTAAAAGGAGATATTTACAATACCTATTTATTAAGATAATTCCCTTTCAAATATTTCTAAAAGTTCTAGTAGTAAAGCTTGCTGACATTAATATTAGTCAAACTAGGTTTACAGGATTATCTAATCCTAAATCAACATACATGAAAGTGTTCCATTTAAAATCACAATTTACAGAATTATTGTTCTGTTTTACATTATTTTTATAGTATGGTTTAATACTGATTGGTGACATTAGGGCTGTGTCTAGACTACATGGCTCCATCGATGGAGCCATGTAGTCTAGACACAGCCCTAATGTCACCAATCAGTATTAAACCATACTATAAAAATAATGTAAAACAGAACAATAATTCTGTAAATTGTGATTTTAAATGGAACACTTTCATGTATGTTGATTTAGGATTAGATAATCCTGTAAACCTAGTTTGACTAATATTAATGTCAGCAAGCTTTACTACTAGAACTTTTAGAAATATTTGAAAGGGAATTATCTTAATAAATAGGTATTGTAAATATCTCCTTTTAGAATCTCAGAAAGGCACAGCACAACCTGATGTCTGTTGTGGGAGGAGAGAATCATTTCTTATCAACAGGACTGAAGACAGCACCTTAACTGAAGTTTCTGTAACTGTGCCATTCTGTGCCATTTTGGTCCCCTCTGGTCAAAGGGAAGAGGACATTTATACATTTCATAAATAAGTAACTGACATAAGAAGTTAGCAAGGTTCTTACTATTTATGGCATGAAATTATTTAGCAGCATAGATCACATAGTTTCTAGTGTCTGTACACTAAAGGATAACATCAACCACCTATTTCGGAAGTATCTCAGCTAGAACTGGCAATTTTATAGGATCCTAGAAAACACACCTTTACTTCTTTGCTCAGCCTTCATAGATCAATCATCTAGAAAGAAAATGTGAACACTAGCATTTTGGCTAAACAGGAAAATAAATTCTGAAGCCAAAACAAATAGGAATAAAACATCACCTCTTACTTTGACAACAATTTATTGTTTAACTCTAATTATAGAAGTCGAAAGTCTCAGAGGGGTAGCCATGTTAGTCTCTGTGTGTATGTAACCCACATACCTAGTGTGGTTCACTGTCCCATGTGGTGGCATTTAGACACTTACAATGAGAGATAAGGAGGAGTGTGTGTAGTGTGGCAAAGCTCCAGCTATTCCCTGTGGGTCTTGTGCTATTGTCCGATAGTGTCAGCCTCAGAGGTTTGCTGTGGCCCTCCACATGGCTTCTTTCTTTTTACTAGAGGCCGGAGCCACAGCCTCCTGAGCCGTTCTCATCACAGGCTAGTTCATAAGTTTGGGGCAAAATCTTCTCTGGAGTCCTGATCTTCCTTCTTGAGGCAGAGGTTGAGATGTTGTGAGGAGGTTGGGAGGAACCCAGGCCTGCCCACTACTTCGGATTCTGGCCCAGGAACCCTAAGGCACCAGCAACAGGCAAAGTTACTGCCACTCTCAATCTGGCACCTTTTCTCTGGGCCACTTCCCCAAACAATCCCTCCCAGTACCTTTCCTTTGATACCTGCTTGTTAGTCCTCCACTCACACCCACACAGCCCCTCCACACAGCACTCCCTGCTTCCTGTCCTTCATTCTTTTCCTTCCCTCTTCTTTGCCTGGGGGAAACCTTTTAAAGCAGCAACCCAGGCCTTAATTGGCTAGAGATGTCTAATCAGCCTATAGCTTCGAAGAAGCTCTAATTGACCACAGGTGCCTGCCTGATTATGCTACAGTTAGGTTTTGGACTTTCCTTTACTCAGCGTAAGAAACTAGTTTACCCCAGCCCAGCATGTCTTCCTTCAATTGGTGTGCAGAAGCCAGCATCTGGGTCTGTCACTATT